TTCTAATAGGTGGAGTTTTTATTGGCGTCAGTCCTATTAAGGATGGAGAAGAGTCCATGCAATTTGATAATTTAATGAATATGTTGATTGTTGAGGTTAGTGCTGTTGGTTTCCAATCAAGATAAATGGAAATGAGATTTAGATTATACTGGGGTTTTCTTAGTTAAGTCAGCTAGGAGACATATCAATGCCCATCGATTGTCTGTGGGAGGAACTTTTACTAGATGAAATATATTTGTTCCGATAAAGGTTAATGTTTTTATATGACATTTTTTGTTAGATGTGCTTCTTTTCAGATCTAATATGGTGGAGAGAGGAGTGAAGTTGGATTCCGTTCTTTGGCGCAACAAAACTAGAGACGTGTAGCTATGTGGCTCGATTTGCATATTCTTGGGTTTTTTTTGGCTACGGAGATGATAGCGTGGATCGATGCTCGACCAACGTTTAGAATGGAAATGGTGATAGTGTAATCGATGTTTATGACAGTCCTTTCAATGCTTTCGATGTACATAAATGCTACTATATTTTATTCTGGCCTTCAAAGTATAGAAAACAATTTATTTATGATAATATTATCGAGCATCCTTATCGTTGTTTTTTTTCATAACTTTAAGGCTAGGATTAATTGGAATGCGTGGTTGCAAAATCCAACCATGCTTTAATTTTGTATTTTGCTAGTCTCTAGCTAGTTTTTTTTTTTGTTATAAAATTTGGATGTTAATTTTTTTTATGGTTTTAGTAGAATTACAAAAACACAAACAAAACACGGAGATTGAAACACACAACCCCATCAACCACAGTTACAACACAAGTATGAAAAACATAAATGAAACAAGATAAAGCTTTAAAACGAGGACATGATAATGATCATTGTCTTTAAGGTCTATTAACTCTTTCATGGGATCAAGGCTAGGTGCTGTTTGTTTTTTCTGAGACAAAATGTCTGCAGTCTGCGGACTACATCTGTAGACCTCTGCAGTAGAAGAGGTGGACCAAACGTCTGCAGTCTGAAAAAAGAAGACTGTTTGTTTTTTAACATCTGCGGGCTACTAAAATAAACTGAAATCTAAATAAACTGATTTTTTTAAACTTCAAAGTGATTTTTTTAATATTTTTATGACTTTGTTATAAATAATTAACGAATCTAGATCAACTTTTATGTATTATTGTATAAAAAATAAAAATAAAAATGGTATGAATTAACGTATATATTTGATAAAAACCAACAACCTTGGTTGCAAAGTTATAACTAAACATTATGATTAGTGATCAAATAATTTGATACATAAATGGATGGAAATAAACTTCGATTTTTTCAATTAAATCCATTAAAAAGGTACCATAAATATTTTCTCGAGAAATTGACGATATTGTATTAAATAATGTTTTACAAAATTTGGCAAAAAAATATAAGAATATATTATGATTTTTTTTTCATATTTATATAAACAACTTCAACGACTATTATTGTAATAAATCTTTATTTATAAATTTGTCAAAAATATCATGTTTGTATCGTCGAATGTTTTTTTTTTAAGTTTTGTAATTTTTTTTTTCAAATTGTTTATCATTAATAAAGTTGGAAAAAAATATAAATTAAAAAAAACTTAAAAAAATAAAGATATATATGTTTTTTTAGGCTAGAAGATGTCTGAAGATGTTAGAAGACTCTGGTCCACATCTGCGCCAAGAAGAGGGCGCGCAGACATTTTTAGGTCTGCAGTCTTCAAAAAAACAAACAGTCTGCGAAGGCTAATGTCTGCGCGTGGTCTGCGCGGCGCAGACAGAAGAGGTCACGCAGATCTGCAAACAAAAAACAAACACTACCTAAGATATGTCCATGACCTCCTCGATTTTAAGAGGTGTATGCAACAATCATATATTCTCTTCTAGTGGCTATTATAAATGTTTATTTATAATTAAACTTATAAATGTTTATGTATATATTTTTATAGAACGCAACAATCCAATGATGACGAAGACAAAATATTTATATTTTTTAAATTTTAGGTTTTCACGTTGTTAATCGGAGTAATGTATTTTTTTATTGACATTTTTTTTAAGTTTATGAAAATTTTAATTATTAATACTTGTTTTATTTTTGTTCTAAAATTTAAAATTATTATCTTGGTTAAAAAAAAGGAATGAGTTGGATTTAATATGAAAGTGAACTTTAAATAAGTTGTACAAAAATGGTTTAAAATGTTTCTAACAATTGCCAAGTACTAGTTGTTTAACAAAGCTCATTGTACTAATAGATAAAAGAGAAATTAACTCCCGTGGATTTATACAACATTATTCTTTATGTAACATTATCTCATGTTGATTAATTAGATCTTTTGGTTAATCAAGCCACGGCACTTTGTTCACTTTATTGATCAACCGTATTTTATGAAAGCTATAAATAAGCATGTGATGGTCATTTTCTTAAAGGAAATAAGAACAAAATGCATGCCTTCAATTAATTAAACGAGTGTTCTCATTTCTTGCTTTATATCCATCACGAAACAGACGTGAAAAATTCAACCATTGCGTTACTTATAAGACTAAAAGGAGTGATGTCATAGTTGTCATTCCGTTTTGCAAGTCATATTAGTGTCATCCTAGTCATTGGCGGAGCTACTTGGTTGGCCAATTGCTACCCCTTGTTTTTCTCCCTACGGGAAAAAATGTAGATTTTTTTTATTAATTTTTTAAATATATGGTACACCTCATGAACTGAACAAGAATAAGCAACTACTAGCCCAAATAAATTCATCTACCAAATAAATAAATGTAAAGTATTTAATAGCCCAATCTATTCAATTAGCCAATATGTAAATTAATGAAGAGGCTTGAAAACCATTGTGGTACGACAACAATTAAAAAAAAAAACTTATTATTGATTATTTACTACATCATGATAACATTTCTGTTAACATTTTTGTGCTAGTTTCTTATATTTAATGAAATTGTAATATAAAAAAAATATCTTATTATTGGGAATTTTTTGTGCTACCTTTTATAAAAGTTTATGATTGGCTACTCATACCGTTCCATTTCATTTTTTTGCATATTTGTCTAAAATTGTTACCACACATAATGAAAGGTTTGTCATACCATGCCACCTTTATTTTTTAATTTTGTTTAAACAATTTCATATAGATAAAAACTAAAAATTTCATTAATTGAAAGTAAAAATACATAACAAAAAAATAAAAACTTAAAAACATAAAAATATAAAAAAAATAATAATTAAAACATCCTAAATTTTTTTTCTTGTGTGATTGCACTTGATTAAAATATCTACTTACATTACATTAAACAGTAAAATTTATACAAATAAATATACAATTGAAATGTGTTTCGCAAATGTTTAAAAAACATATGTTATCAATTTATAAAAAATAACACAATTCTATAATAATAATAATAATAATAATAATATATTTATGAAAAAATGAATTTTTATTTTTAGATAAAGCAAACAATCATATTTAATTATAACATGAAATTTAAAACTAAAAAAGTTTACAAAAGAAATACAGTAGAATGAAATGTAAAACCTAAAAACTTAAAACAAGATACACAAAAATGAAAGAGATATTTTTGTTGTCTTAAAATTGGATGATGAATGGTTTTATTTATAGTGTAAACAAATTGGAAAAATAATAAAAAAGAAGAGAGAAAATTGAAGTAAAGAAGAAAAAGAGAAAAGAGAGAGGAAAAAGCATGGCTTCAGGGTTTTCATATGCACCACACACCAAGGGACGGTGTTCGCCATGACTTAGTTGGCAAACCATGTCCTAAACAACAATCATTCCGTCAAACTTTAAAAGTAAAATCGTATTTATGTCAAACAGAAAATTATGATATTCACTAAAAGACATTTGGTCTAGCGGTATCTGTATTTGATGGATAGGTGTCTTCAGCCAAAAACTAAGGGTTCAATCATGTTATAGACGAAATGTATAGATTTATAATTAGAGTAATGTATGCATATGTATACTATGATTTCTAAAAAATAAAATAAAATAAAAAAATACTCTAATATCAATAGTTACATAATAACATATTGCAAGTGATGTCCAACTTAAGTTTTATATTCATGTGGGGCGTGAGGTCAGAAGTTCGATTTTTTTGAATCATCTTTTTAGGTGCTCCATGTGGTGAAAATTTTCCTTGAAAATCCTTTGAGTTTCGAGTTTGCCCTATAAAGGAGCTCGAACTCGGGTCTTTATAGGTGGAGCGGCTACCGTTTATTCGTTTGCTGGTTCTAAAAAAATACAGTAACATATAATTATAGGCTACCGTTTATTCGTTTGCTGTTTTCAAAAAAATGCAGTAACATATAATTATAGTATTATGTAAGAGTTCAATTTTTTATATACATAGAATGAAAATAAGATCTAAGATTTTTTTAACAGTACAAAAATTTATAAATAATTAAATAAATATTACAATAATGAATTATTCTTATACGAGTAGCCCTGTAAAAATACCACAAATTTGAAGAGAATAAAACTACAGTTGCTCCAATAATTCGTGGGACCTAGGAAACATTTAAATTATTGAACTGACGAATTGGATGTGTACACGGTGTTTCACATGGATTGGGATGACTCTCTGTCGCCTTCAAAAGTTGCGGCCTAACACCTTTTTTTTTTTAATTCTCTGTTTGCTCCTCAAGTAATTCTTAACAATCTCTAAGTTTAAATATGTAAATAATAAATTACTAAAGCATATACGGATTTCAGAATCTTTAATCATATTATTTATATGGGATTGGCTTAATTAAGTAATAAATGAAAATTAATTGAATATTTGTAGTATTATATATTCCATCCACTTTCACTACCAGCCAACAACAATGACATAGTTTACTAAAATTCGCACATATCTTCTTATGAAAATAAAGTTTTGAACATCGAAAACAAGGGGAAAGGGCAAAATAAATAAAATAAAAAAACAATAAGAGGACAAATATATCAGCTCAGCTCATAAGTGCAAAACATAACACAGGAACACAAGGAAGTGGGGGTGGCTTTTTAATTTTAGGTTAAATTGGGCAAAAAGTTCAAAGGAGAAGGAAACCATCAGAGCCCACACCCCATAACCTCCCCCCTCTCGTGGGGAGAATCAATTTCTAAACCCACTTCAACGTTCTTGAACTTGAATCTATCTCTCTGACTCTCTCTCCAGGTTAAACTCTTTCTCTTTCTCCTGAAATTAATAAATTTTGAAACCTTTTCTTGAATCGAAATCAATTTCTAGATCTGGGTTGTCGTTTTTCAAACTGAATCTTGATTGGCCTGTCTTTGATTTCTATTCTTTAATGCTTTCCATGCTCTGCTGTTCATGGACGTTGTAGTTTAGGGTTTTGAAGTGGTTTAAGTGTTGTATATGTGCTTCAAGAAAGTTTATTCATGTGGTATTCTCGATTTGATCAGTTTAAAGTATGCGATGTGTCAGAAATTTAACCTTATTCGTTTGTTTTTCAATCAAAAAGTATGCATCTTGTAGAGTTTTACACGAGCTTTCGATTTCGAAAAATTTGAAATTTAAAAAAAGTTGGATTCTTCTTATGTTTTTACAGATCCAGCTGGAGTTGCTCAGAGGGTAGATTTACGTTGAATCACATTGTAACTTTCGCAAGAATCATGACCTCCAAAGTTTGACTTCAATCAGAGGCTTGAAAAGTCAGTGGATGATTCAAAGTCAAACAAATTTAGGGGTGTTCAATACTTTGAAACTTCGCACCCAAAATTAGGGTTTTCAGATTTCTCGATTCTTACAAAGATTTCGTATGGCCGTTGCCAAGAGCGACACCAAAAGATATAACGAATCATCTTTCAAATTCCACAACTGTTTCAAAGTCGATAGCTTGACAGAAACCATACTAGAAACCGATCAGATCTCAAATCTAAAAGATCGATATGTTCTTGGAGACCAATTGGGGTGGGGGCAATTTGGTATAATCCGAGAATGCTCTGATAAATTGACGGGAGAGGTATTGGCCTGCAAATCAATATCAAAAAACAGACTCGTGACTGATGAAGATGTAAGAAGCATCAAACTTGAGATTGAGATCATGACTAGGTTGTCTGGGCATCCAAACGTGGTTGATCTCAAAGCAGTTTATGAAGAAGAAGGTTATGTTCATCTGGTTATGGAGTTATGTGCAGGTGGAGAGCTTTTTCATCGGTTAGAAAAACAGGGGAGATTTTCTGAATCTGAGGCTCGGATCTTATTCAGGCATTTAATGCAAGTGGTGAGGTTTTGTCATGATAAAGGTATTGTTCATAGAGATTTAAAGCCCGAAAATATTTTATTAGCAACAAAAGCATCATCTTCTCAGATCAAGTTGGCTGATTTTGGCCTCGCAACATACATTAATCCAGGTATAATATTCTAAATCCTCATGATATTTTTAAATCCGAATCTTGTAAATTGTAATTACGATTCTTGAAGTTGCAATAAATAATCAGTTTCAACTTGCATATTCAAAACACGTTACTTGGATATCTTTCTATATATAGAAAACTTGGAGTTTATTAATTGCTATGGGATAGGAGGTGCTGACTTTTGTTGACCAAACAGGAGAAAGTTTGCATGGGACAGTTGGGAGTCCGTTTTATATAGCACCGGAGGTATTGGCAGGAGGTTACAACCAAGCTGCTGATGTATGGAGTGCAGGGGTAATTCTGTACATTCTTCTTAGTGGGAAGCCACCATTTTGGGGGAAGACTAAATCGCGAATATTTGATGCAGTTAGAGCTGCTGCTTTGAGATTCCAGCCAGATCCCTGGAATGGAATCTCTGATTCCGCCAAAGAATTGATCAGAGGAATGCTCCATACCGATCCTTCTGTGAGGCTCACCGCTCAACAAGTTCTTGGTAATCTTTTACAAAAAAAAAAACCCACTTTATTTACTACTCAATATTTTTTGATGTGGCAAAAGGGTTCTAGCCTTTTTGTCATTTAACACTTTCTAGCTAGCTTATCAGCTAGTTTCTACCAAACGTCATTTTTTATCAGCTATCAGCTAAATGTTTTGTTCATTGGGTTTGTAGATCATACATGGACTAGTGGCATTGGCCCAATACCTAAATCACCTCCAACTTGTGAACAACTTGAGTTAGCAGGAAGCCCAACATCATCTTTATTCATGGCCCGAAACGATGACATCAGCTTTGGGCTCGGATCTCCAATCATATGTGAAACATTCAGTTGCAAGTCATCGTTTTCTTCATTCCTTGTGGAGCCCGTGACACCTCTCGTGAACTCCTGCGGGTTTTCTTTCCGTAGCAGTGGCGGGTCCGGGTCCGGGTCATCAAACACTACCACCCTAGACTTCTGCACCCCGATCCATTCCATGCCAAGTTTCTCCTTCTTTGGGCCGGGTCCAGATACGGATCATGACCCGCCCGTGTCCGTGTGCTTGTTGGGTCTGGATACGAGGGAAGTGAAAGAGCAGAGATTGGGTGAGGTTAAAAGGGGAGGTGGGTCGAGGATATCGGGGATTCATAGTAAGAGGAACCGTACGATCGGATTGGGAGAATTTGAGCCGTTAGATCTTGTGGTTGCGGAGTCGGTTATCCGGTGGGTGTCGTGCACGCAGCTATCGGCGTCCCTCAGGTCTGATTTTGTTTGTTGAATTGGAAGTTGGAAGTGGGCTTGTGGATTTTGACTTTTATTCTCTTGAGTCTTGAGTTTGATGATATAAAATGCTAGTTGACTTGTTACTATTTATAGTGGAGATGTACAAAAAGGATTGGGCTTTTGATATTGTTAAGGCCGGTCCGGTCCTGATATGTGATGTCCGGCTGGGCTAAACCGGTCTAGGCCAGTGTTCTAATTCTTCCTTTTTTTTGTTGGGTTTTTTTTTTTTTTTTTAATCAACATGTATATGGTTTTGGACTTTTGGGGTATAAGGCTATTTACATATAGGTGGATCAATCTTTGGATTTAAGTGGTAGAACCATGTAAAAGTAATAATCGAATCACATCAATTTGACTTGTTTGGTTAAGTAATATCCTTAAAACGATACATGAGGAGAGAAAAGGGGGTCACACCTCGAAATGGAACGATTTTTTAGGGTTTCATGTCAACTTAAGTGCAATTATTGGGCTCGATGATAGATCTGATTTAGAACATACCTCAACATATATTCAGTCATTAGCTGCCTAAAATAGAACTTGATGTCTTGATTGGATTATGCTAAAGTTAATTTCGTGATAGCAAGAAAAAATAAAGTCAAAAGGATACTTCAAGAAAGTGTTTAAAACGATCAATTTTTATATCCACGTTGCTAAACAAAAATAAACATAATGATAGCCAACTTATGGGAATAAAATGTCTTAACAAGAAAGAACATAATGATAACCAAAAATCAATATAAAAGTATCACATATATTCTATGAATGGTTAAGATCATATTAACAAGATATAGCTTTATGCCTTGTATTTCCTAGAAATTTCGGAATACACTTTTCTCTGTCATCAAATTTTAGCCCAAAAAATGAGTTTGAAATATAACTGGTCACAAAGTAGATTCGAAATAAATCTATTTTGAAGATAATGATCGTTTTATAAATGACTCAAAATATGACTAGGCTCTCCGTCAAGGGCGGATCCAATACTTTAACATATTTTACATGTAATCATAGAATAAAATGGATCAACTTTCTTTTCAAATAGGTAGGTTATAAACCTTTTGATGTATGTGTGTATAATGTATTGGTAGTGAAGAAACAAATTAAAAAATAAACAATTATATTTTTTGTATGCCCCCAACGACGTTAACATATTATCACACCGTTTTTTTCACATCACCCCTGTCGTGGTGAATTTTGAATTGGTGATGATGTGGAGGTTTGTATCACACTATTTTTTTCACATATTATCACACCATTTTTTTCCCTCTTTCTCATTCCCTTTTATGTGAGGGATATATGGTGTTGAGGTGACTACTTAACCCGTAATTATCAAAAGATCTATTTAAATTTAAATTTATATCTGATGGAAAATTTTGAAAGATAGCCTATATCCCCCCTGGTTATGAAAAGACATCATATTTGAGTGATGATCCGTTTTTAAAAACATATGCATTATACTTTTTAACTAATATTTGATTATAAATTTATAATAGTCTGTTTTATTCACTCTAAGAGTCTTTCAAAGTTTCAATGGCACATTTGCGTATCCATCAATCTGGCTAAACTTCTAGAAACTCCACAATGACGCGTCAAAACTAAATTCCACGTCATCCTCACAGTTGTCGTATCCAACGGTCACAGGTGGTGGTAGCATCAGTCCTTCCGCCATGTTGGCAAGAAACCCCGGCATCCCAAAAATCGCTTCCTCATCCATATACAACCCATTTACCGCCGCCAACTCCTTGTTCTCTTCCACCTCATCCGCCGGCCGGAAAGCCTCAGCGGCCTCCACTGCCGCTTTCTGAATGTCCTTCACATTACTAGATTCCGGGACCGGCAGCCGCCACAACGAGTCAGCAAAATTCAAACACGCTGATCGCCCCTTCATAGCCAAAGCCGCCACATCATGAGCTCTGGCTGCCATGTCAGCTGTGGGATACGTCCCCAGCCACACCCTCGTTTTCTTATTCGGCTCTCTGATCTCACACACCCACTTGCCGGAATTCCTCCGCCGCACACCCCGGTAAATAGGGTGGCGTGTCTCCTTGAACTTCTTCCTCCCGGCTCGCTTCTTGGGGTTTCTTGAAGCTAAGAGGAGCTCCTCGTCGGAAAAACTTGCGGTGGTGCTACAATCGGAAGTTGAACAAGATTCAGTTGACATTGTCGAGTATGGGGTATGGAATCGGATAAAAGTAGCCATTAATTGTCGTTTGGGAAGTTATTATGAGTGAATTTTAGTTTGAGAGAGTGAATGTTTGTACTTTGTATATATATAATATGGCCATGGGAGGTGATAAGAAAATAAACACGGAGTGAGGGATGATAAGGAGACAGCTGGGGACGGGGAAAAAAGAAGGTTGGGAGAAAGTGTATTTTGATAGAAAAACTATCAACTCACTGTACACCTTTGATCCTTCTACTCAAACATTTCATTAATCATTAAATGTTAATATACAAGGAACCCTCACTTGTACGTTAAATATTAGATATCACAATTTTAAAGAATATGAAATTATTGTTTTAGTGTAATTTAGACGAGTCGGTATGGGCTGTTGAGGGGTGTTAGAGCCGACGTGGCTCACCCTCAACGACGTGGTAACATGCAAACACCGCACCTCATCCGTTATGTTGTCATCTTTTGCAATCGAAACGAGTCGTAATGTGCATATTTTTTCAATTGGAACGGTCAAATTTTAAATTTAAAAAAAAATTAAATATTAATTTTTACCTATATATACTACATTTAAATACCATTTTTACTACACCGTTCTTATCTTTATCTCATTTTACATCAAACACAAATACATTCGTTCTGATGGGTTTCACGTAATATAGGAGTTATATGAACCTCCTCAATTTTCAAAACTCACCACAAATACCATTTTAAGGAAACTATTTTAATCTCACCTCACTCTAATGCAATTTCCTACATTGTCGTACATGAAACAAAACATTTTCAATACTTTTGATTATATGTCACAAACAACCACACAACCACCATTCACACAACCAACGCAAGATACGATGCCCGAAACACAACTGGAAGGTAGTCGGAGAGGTACAAGGAAAGGGAAAAAGAAACGGAAATATATCGCAGAAAGTAAAAGAACCTCTGCTATGGTAGACATCAGAGGAAGAGTACGCTTTGGCGGTCAAGTAGTGCGGGGCATCGAAAAATCCGACTATAGGAAATGATATGAGGAGAGTTAGTTTTTGGGAAGCCGCGATTGGAAATTTTCATACGCTTATGAAGAAACCTCAATGTCGATATGCTTAGTAGAAAATGGACTCCAATCAGCTGTAGTTGCACCAAGTATAATGAGATTTTCAGCAAACTTTCTTCGCAAAAGCGAAGTGGTGCCAACGATTTTGATGTGTTTAGAGTTGTGAGGGAGCAATATCATGTCGAAATGGGTCACGTTTTTTAGTATGAAAAAAATGGGAGATTGTGAGAAAAGATCCAAAATGGATTAAAACACCAATATCGTCGGAGATACATTCAAATAGGTCAGGCAATTCAAGTCCGTTTAATGTTTCCGACGCACGAACTAACATCAACCTCAATGCCGACACCGATGACATCCCCAACGACATCGAAGAGATCCCCCCCCCCCATCCACGTCGACTGGTCGGACACGACAAAGTGAAGCGCGCTCAACGACATATGAATGAAGCTGAAAAAAGGGCACAAGAGTTGACGGAAATGAAAAAAGTTTAACCAACACAATCTAATAACAAAAGAAAGAGTCTCCTTCGTCGTCAAACATAAGAAGATCAAATGATGAAGGATTTGACAATTCTTCAACGAGTGCGGAAGATATGTCACGACAAGATTTGGAGTGCTTCATGCGACGAAGGAAAAGATCTGCAAGAGATATTTGGACTAGGACTATCATTTTATGTTTTTCAATTTAGGATTATCGTATTTTATTTTCTTGTAACGTTTTTTTTTCTTCATGTAATGTTTTTTTAAATGTTGTCTAAATTAGGATTTATTATTATATATATATTAAAATTGTAGAACAAAAGAATAGTAAAATTGGCCTCCTTTGTCCACCTTTGGTCCCTTCATTTACATATCCGACCCCTATACTTTTGTTTGTGTTCCATTCGATGTCTTGTATATATATTAAAGATGGACACTTTTTAGGAATAGTGAACATCTTGATTTTTTTGGCGAAAATGGCCCATGAGTTTTCATATTTTTAGTGGTTCAGATTTTTGACACTAAAGTTTGTGGTATTGACAATTTGGTCCCTTAATTTATTAACAGTGGTGTAAAGATAAGGATGGGGCTGATACGTGTCATTCCCACGTCTCCCCGCCGGTTCTGCCTCGGTTCATGTGCTTCCCATGATTTTTTTTCTGGATTCCTCCATTTTCGCCATCTAATCTAAATTCACACTGAAGGTACCACAGCTCATGAAACACCCGCTGGCTATTGTGGCTTTGGTGCCTAAAGAAGCTACCGTGTTCGCCGCCGGTGCAGTCGCCAGTTCCGCCGCGAAGCGCAGGCAACAAAGGTTTGCTACAATATTTGACAGAGAAGCGTAGGGCTTTTGCGGGTTAGACGAGAGACACTGGCGGTCGTCTTGTAATGTTTCCAGATACCGACGACGAAGCCGGACAGTGCTGCTACCGCTGCTTCCCATCGACTCTAGAAAACCCTAAACCAGTATTGGGAAGGATATAAACACAGCTCGGCGACGAATGGATCCATAACGCCTTCCATCATCTTCGGCAGGTCGATGGTTCTTCTACTTCACGCAACCGTCCGACTGCACGACTGTTTCGCTCTCCTTTAATCCTCTTCTTCTGCAATTCCGCTACCCACCACGACGCTTTATTCCAAAATACGATGAGCGCTTCTGGTGTTTATCTTCCACCAGGTTCCTCATATGTTCTTCTTCTTTAATTTCATCCAACTTTGTTTTTGAACGATTTTGATTGAATTCTCAGGTAACTATTGAACCCTTCTTTGTGTTTGGGTTGTGTGATGGAGGTGGTTTGGCCGACATCTGTGTATCTCCATTCCTGTCCCCCTCAATCTTTGGGTTAGTATTGAACCCTAAATCGTAGTTGTTCACTAGATATAGAAATTTAGAAGACTATGAACGTCTATCTCCTGATGACGTTTACATTATAAATCTGTAAACGACTTTCTTTAGCAATGTGCCCTGTACGTACCAAATTGCCATTTTTTTGTTGTCTTAATAGAGAAATTGAAAAGTTTTTTGAATTTTGCTTTTGATTTTGTTTCAATTCGCATCAAACTAAATACATCCTAATGTATGCCACACACAATTTTGTCTTATCCTTTAGTTTTTATAAGCTTTTACTAGAAATATTGGAGCATTTAGCCTAATAAGCTTGTAATCTAGGTGTAAATTTGAGAGTACAGACGTTATTGTGTTGATGATTGAACGATTTTAGTCACAATAGTATGTGTAACATGTTATATATTGCATGCTCCAAGTCAATCTTTTGAACTACAAACATGATAAAAACCTCTAACTTCATGTTGAAATTTTCTAATGGTAAAGATCTGCTGCTACATATGGTGATATGGATAATGGCCTTCAAGATTTGTTGATAGCTTCGTTCTTAAAAAAGTGGGTTTCGGTATTGTCTTTGCTTCTAACGATGGTATAAGGAATGTATGGCAAAGGAGAAAGAACAGGAAACAACAAGAAACACATGTTGATATGATCATTTTTTCCATTTAGTTTTGCACTTGAAACATGACTAATTCACTAGGTTATTCAATGCAGGTATGTAGGTGCTGAAACTGACTTTCCCCATAGACACACACATAACTGTGGGGTTGAAATTCAGGATTGTCTGGCAAGAATGTCGGGATATCTTTACTTAACATACATATGAAGAACGGTCGGATCAATAAAAGGATTTGCAGGTATCATTTTCCCTCTTATTCATTTGGCTTATTTGATTTTGTTATCTAATTAAAAAAGAGATTATACTAAGTTCATTTACCCTGATAAGAAATAATCTAAAAGTACTATGCTTTAAATATATTTTGAATATGTAATTATAATGATTGTTGATTCCACTACAGGGATGAAATGGGTGTTCCTGTTGACAAAGGTGACAAGCGAGCTGGGATAACCGTATTTCTTCAAAGTGAAGACACCACCTTCTGCTGCTTTTGTCGTCGTTCAGCTAAGCTTTCACTAAGCTTTTAATCTCCTTCTTTCTTTGTCTCCTCTTCGTTTGTGTGTAAATCCTTGGTATTTTGGGGGATTACGATTACCAATATCTGGGTAATTCTCCTGATAATTTTCTGTTGGTATGATTGATTAAAGTTAAAACAATAAGATGAACGCATGATTTGTGAACTTTTGTGTGTGCATCTTTAAGTTGTTAACACTTTATTGAGTGATTGGTAAGCTGACGAAAACAAATTCTCTCAGGTTGTCTCACCTGCTCTAACCACTCACCAGGGAAAATCTATCTTCATGTTCTTTAAGCTCCCTCCAAAGGTACTTTATTCAACCATCTAAAAATGGATCCTTTTGTTTTCTCTATTGATGTACATTATCTGATAATTTCTGTTTTTTTGTTCTCTATTGTTGTACCTAATTAGAAGGTGAAAACCTATTAGGCTAGCATTTGACTTTTTGGATTTATAAATATATATGATTTGATTTCGTTGGTTAAAGAAACAATCACCTGCTTCATGTGGCTTTTCCTTTGTGCTTTATTTTGTAATTTTCAATGTTTAAAGTCATTGATTTTGATTTCTTTTTTTGAAATTTGTTAGGAAATTGACTGATAAATCATTGTGGAAAGCTCAGTTCATTCGAAAAATAGATCCACTGATGAACCTGCTTAGCCATAGTCCACAGGCAGGGTGCTGCTATATGGGGTGGTGCCACCACATTGAACCACCTAATACGCAATGCTCATCCACATGTTGGTAGAAGTTTCCTATCATTCTATTTACAGTATGGTCAAAAACTCGAATATGATGGTTGATAAATAGGCCATTTATGAATTACGGATTACGTATGATCATAATTCTCATAAATGATAAAATCATCTGGACTAATTGATTTTAGTTAGAACATCGAAGTCATTTGAAAGACGGTGATGAGAACAGCTAATCGTTTCTCTAATATCCATTTATCTAATATCATTTCT